TTTATATGACCTTAAAAAGAATTGGCTGCATCTCTGAGCTCAGTGGGATGGTCATACTGGCATCTCTTCGGGGACTGCGGTGCGCCTGAGCCAAGCCGTGGTATTTTCAAACATGCATCTCACGCATGTGAATGACGGCCAGTGAGCAAGGCAGCCGAGGAAAAATCAATGCATGTGAGCGGTGGTGCGGGTGACGAACGTGGAAGTGCCACGGACAGCCAACCCACCAACACGTCTGTCCCGGAGGAAGCTCAGCCGGAATGTCCCCTATTGACAAGGATGAGGAGGCTCTGTCTCACCTATGTGGGACACATCGTCAGGGGGACCAGGCCCTGTGGAAGGACATCGTGTTTGGGTTGGCAAAACGGAGAAAGCCCCTCAAGGAGATGGATCGACCTCTGACGAGTCAGCAGCCCTGCTCCCCAGTCCCCAGTCGCCACAGCATTCTGTCTTTGATGGCAAAGACTTGTGGTTGGCACGGTAGACTAACAACCATAAGAGGGGGCCCCCAAGCACATGAGAAATATTGGCCCCCGAGGCCTGTTCCTTGGTTCCATTGCCCCACCCTACTCGGCCATGTCCTGCTCTTTCATCTCAAATCCAGGCTGAGACTAATTGGCCCGGGAAACTTTTAAAGGGCTGAGTCAAGACTTTCTTGGGAAAAGTTGGACATAACCCCTGGTTGGCAAGGGACTGGTCTGCCAGCCTGCGAGCTGGCCCGGATGGGCAGTGTGGTGGCCACCTGGGGAGTCTGTAGTGAATCCTTTCATGCCGTCATTCAACACCACCCGAACCCCAGGGCCACAGATCCTCGGATAGAAAAGAAAGCCATGCAATCGCCAGAGCTGACCATCCGGGAAACCACGAGCCACGTGGCGCCAGGAGCTGAAGCTCTTTCCATGCCAGGTGGCGCCCGTCCCTGGCAGGTGTTGGCATTGCTCTCGGTTGACTCACGGGGGCTGGTGTTCCCACACGGTGTGCAGGGCTGCGTGAGCCACAGAGGCCACGTCATCACAAGTCAGCCTGCTGGTAGCCCCGCCCTGGCTCTCCTGAAGGTTCTGTCAGCCCGGCTGGCCTGCATCCTGTGATGCACTCCCCCTCCCATGTCCGCTTCTCCCAAATCACCTCTGCCCCCATCCCCGGTACGTCACCTCGTCTCAACCTCCTGCACGAGCCAGTGGTCAGATTCTTGTCCAGACACGTAGGAGCCGTTACATCGGATTCTGAATCACGAGACACCACCAGAGACCGTCTACGTGGTCAGCTTCCTTTGTCAGATGTATTTAGGCCAGCAGTTCTCGACCTGTGGTCCGTGACCCCTTTGGGGGTCAAATGACCCTTTCACAGGGGTCACCCGATTCATAACAGTAGCAAATTTATAGTTACGAAGTAGTAACGGAAATAATTTTATGGTTGGAGGTCACCACCACATGAGAAACTGTATGAAAGGCTCGTGGCATGAGGGAGGTTGAGAACCGCTGATCGCGGCCCTCTGGTATTATGGCAGAGGGTG